CAAAAGAGGGAACAAACCCTCACAGCAAAAAGCATTCCCACCCCCTCCACACACAGAGTAGACAGAGATGGGCAACTTGGACATTGGATACCCAAATGGGGGGAGGGGGGGGAACACCACAAAGGCAAGAAGTAACTGGCTTACAAGCTTTCAAGAGGGAACCTAGAGCTAGGGGGCATGGAGGTAGGCAGAATCTCCATTGAGTACTATCCAATCTGTCTAGGCGGAGCTGATGAAATGAAATGTAGAAGGGTCACTTATGATACAATAGTGAATAATTGTTATCAGGACTGATTGTGAGGGCTGGAAATGTAAAGGTAGACGTTTGGTAGCAAGGAAGGGAGTTATTAACTCTCCAGTCTAGGATGGGAGGTCTCTGGGACCATCAACGGAGAAGAGCCGAGAGCGGGACCCTATCAAGAGAAGCAGGGAGGCCCGAGATGAAGGCAGAGACGATGACGTGGAGTGATGAAGCGGATGGGGACTTTGGATCCAGAGAGGGAGAAGGGAGAGGAGGGGGCGGGTTTCTAGGATATACCTTTTGGTTGGTTGATGATGCATGAAGGGGACTGGAACCATGGCAATGAAATGATATAAGATGGAATGAATGTAAAACTAAAGTTCTCTTGTGTAAACATGTAAACTATTATATAATTCACAATAAAACATTTAAAATAAATAAATAAATAAAATAAACCTGTGTTTCCCAGCGGGTGGGCGGGTGACCACCAGATGCCTGTAAACCTGCTCACTGTCTCAGATGTTGGTTCCGTGCATGGAAGCCAGGGTCCTTGGAAAAGTGGGCACCGGGGTCAGGGATGCCTGCCTGGGCCTGAGAACCAACACAGCACCAGGATAGTGGCCTGTCCCCCCCCATTCAGTACACAGGGTGACTTGGGAGGCTGCCGCTGTAACATGAGAATCTTCAGACAGTATTGAGCCCATCACACCAGGCTCTTCTGGGAGCAGGCACTACTTGAGAAGCACTGGGTCCGGAGCTGCCCTGAGACTAGGTCACATCCTGTGGGTGAGTGTTGTTGGGGGCCAGTGCCAGGGTGACCCAGCAGCTAAAGGCTGCAGGAAAGACAATCGTTGGCCCGGAGCAGGGGGATGGATAGGCCTTGGCAGCCACCCCCCAAGCCCACACACTCTCAATGTCACACATAAAATATTGTTTGTGTGCATACATTAGTGTTGTTAAATGCCGACCAAATTGGTTCCGACTCATAATGGCCCTGTATAGGGCATCCGAGGAGCAGCTGGTGAGTTTGAATGGCCGACCTTGAGGCTCATACTGACTTTGCAGTCAGTGCATTATCCTGCAATGCCACACCAGGATTCCATGTATATATTGGAAGTAACAAATTTAGTCCAAACAAATTTAAAGTCGTTTTCAAAAATGTTTTCAGTTAAGCCATAAATATTTCTGTCCATACCTCCCAAATAATAAGCTACATTACTTTATTTTATTCATTCAATAACCATTGTTTAATGTATACCAGTCACTATTATTAGTGAATGAGATACAAATATTTTAGCAATCATTTACTAAGGTCCAAACTAGTGTGCTATTGGTGTTTCCTAGCCAGCAATCTCTTACTTGATGAGAAAGCTTAATATCTGAACCATTTGAACTCTTCCAACAAAGTTTTAATAAGGTTCATTGATTTTAAGAGGTAAAGATAAAATTAAGTAATTTACAGTTTTTCTATCGTTTCCATTGGTATCCCTGTCACAAAACACCTATATCATATACTGGGTTAGCCTTAAATAAATAATACAAAGTTAAACTCAAGGCAATAAGCAAAGCATCTATGCTTGCTTCTCCTGTGTATCAAAACAGCTCAAATTAATTCCAACAGACTGGCCTTTCATGGGCTTGATTTTCCAATCCGATAAATTTCCCCCAGTGAAAAACAATGTATATTTCTACTGAGATTTAAATTACAAAAGAAAATGAGGTAATTCCTTCCTTTTTCCCACCGCAAAAAGAATTCAAGCTAAAGAACTTTCCACAAAAAAACTTCCCCACTACCCCTGGGGAATCAACCAAAGCATGTCAGGGTAGCCCCAGGTATTTGTAAATCTTCAATCTATCACAACCAGGAAATCAAGATTTAATATAACTCTTCCTTCGCTTGCACTGTTTTTGCAAAGACTTATGTAACCACCGCTCTCTCATTTTTTAAAAAAGACCACTGCAGGAATGGCTGCACACTAATGAATAAAACCCAAATGCAGAACCTAACAAAGGCAAATGCTTGTCAAAGAGTAACTATTGAGAAAAGCATAACACACGTGTTCCCCTGCGAACAATAGACGATTCGTTCTCCCAATGTGAAGATACTGGTAAGGCATCTCCCACTACCTCCCTTCCATCAGCCTTGCTGCTTTCTAAATCAGTCTATTGCTATCCTCTTTTGACAGAAAGGGGATGATTAACAGAATGTTTCCGAGAGGAAGTAGAGTTCCGGGAACCAAGGAACAGATATTAAGGCATCAGAGTTCTCGGCAAGCCCCCGCCAAGACGAACAAACCAAAGCCTGCGACCTCCCACCACCACCACCACCACCACTCCTCGTCCTTCCTAGCCAGGGCTGAGACTAGGTTCAGGGAAAGCTTTCCTCTTAAGCGAGCAGGTGCTGACTCTCTTCCTTCAGATCCCCCTTCTCTCTCACTGCTCCCCCAGGGGCCCTCTACAACGACGAGTCGTTATATAAGCTTTCAACCCCTCCAGAAGCCCTAGCCTAGCCACACACAAGATGGCATCCAAACACGTACCGGAGGAAACAGCTGTGCCACCACTCCAACGATGCTAGTCTCTCGACTGCGGGTAAACCCATTGGCCCAGTCAGTGAACGCGAGACAACCCGAGAACGCTGGTAGCCAATCGGAAGGCGGCGCGCTCGGGCGCCACCGCAGTGTTGGCGGTGCGCGTGCGGAACCTCTGAGACGTAGACCGGTAGAGTGTTCAACCAATGAGAGTTTGATCAGATGGCCGGCGCCTTGGCGTCCGACTCCTCCTACTTAGATATTGTGTTAGGTAGACCTTGACGTTTGAAATTTTGCTCTTTGCTTCTCTGGCTAAGGTTAGCTGTGATAGTTTCATCGCTGGGGTTTCGTGGCGTAGGGTCTGAGGAACAGCCGGATCCGTGGGAACCCAACCTCTCCTACTGAGCCGGCGGAGTGCAGCCTGCTGGTCTGGCGCTCTCCGAACTCCCCGCGGCGGGCAGCGTGAGACGCGCAGTGGAACAGCGTGAGTGAAGCTGACCGTGGACCCCTGGTGGCCGAGGCCGCAGGAGGCAGAAAACAGCGCCAGAGCCCTTGCAGCCTCCGGTCGCCTTCCACACCAGCTTGCGGTCCCAGGCTGGAGAAGGGACCTCTGAGTTCTTAACCCACATTTCAGATGGTCTCCCAGTGCTCAGCGTAATGAGAAGTGACTCCTAAGCAGCTGGGAACCTGATTGGAGTATAAAATACAGAAGCAGAACATGACGGTTTAACTACTGACCTATTTCACAGGTAAGACTACACAAGCTCTAAATAAGTGAAATCATTTGTGCCAAGATCTCCGAATGGAGATCACATCCCCAGAGCTTGTGACTCCTCATCAGCGACAACCTACAATGAGTTCTGCACTTATTAATGAATGAGGCCAGGTAGAAAGGTAACTTTCAAGAACATAGACTCTGAAGCAGGCTAGCCTCCAAGGTTCCTTCTTCTCTCTGCCACTTATATGTGGCGTGTCTTAGTTTCCTCTTCAGAAGAACAAGACCACGTGAAATATTTAGAAACATGCTGTGTTCATTTTCATAGTCGTGCTCATTTGAAATATAGGAAACCAAGAAGTAATCTTTTTTTAACAGCGTAGAAGGAGCCATGACTTGAAGCATGAGAAACTGATTTTTTTGCCAAATGAAAAACGCAGAATGATGGGGAAAACGAATTAAAATTTAAGGTCCTACTTATAAATTTCAACATTGGCTATTTCTGGAAGATGAGGTTATGAATGATTTAATTTTTTCATCTTTATGGTTTTCTATATTTTGCAATTTGTTTTACCTTTGTAAAGGAGCACTCATTGTGCAGCATTGGGCTGCTGCTAATCATTGGTTCAAACCAACAGCTGCTCTGAAGGAGAAAGATGGGGCAGTCTGTTCCCTTAAAGATTTACAGTCTTGGGAACAAAACCCAAAATCATTTTTAAAAAAATAAAGAAGAGACTGATGGGACCTTGAGACTATGATCCTTGGTCACCCTTTGAGACTGGAACTGAACTCCCCCAGAGTTCAGTTTTCAGCCAAGCAATAAATAGCTGTATAGGGGGGTAACAATACTAGTGAGGTATGCATACTCTTCAGGATCAAAATGGTATAATTTACTCAAGGACAAAATTCAGAAGGGTTGGGAAAGAAGGAGGAATGGAAGCAAGAACCATAGGGAAGCAGTGGGATAGTGATGTTACATGGAGGGGATTGTGTCATTGAAATGAAATTAATTGCATGATGATCTGCTCTGTAAACCTTCACACAATTCACAACAAAAACTTAGAGGGAAAAAAAAAAGATTTACAGTCTCAGAAAGTACCCTGTCCTATAGGGTCACGATGAATCACAATCAGCTGAAGAGCAATGGATTTTTACCTTTGTAAACTACTTTATTTTTGAAACATATAAGCTACAGTTACAAGAGCTTTCTTTTAAATGCTTATGTGCTGTTGTTTGTATTTCTGATGTGGTGATCTAGAATCAGTACTGGACTGTAAACCACAAAGTTGGAAGTTCAAAACCACCACCTGCTCCTTTGAAACCCTATACAGAGTCACTATGAGTCAGAACCGACTCAACGGCACTTAACAGCAACAACAATGCTGTAGTTAGAAGTATAAACTCGTCAAATCTTTCTGGAAGGCAGTATGGTGATATACACCAGGAAGTTTTAAGTCCCTTTAAAATTTTTCATATTTAATTTTTAATGAAATACACTACCAAACTCTTTTACAAAATTAGAACTTTGTAGATAGAGAGCAGAATTCACAATCTCTAAATTCCACACCCCACACACATAAAACTTTTAATTACTTTGGACAAAGCCGTCTAATCTTTTTTCAGACTTACATATTTTTTATAGGTACATGTATGCATTTGTAATATTTTTCGCTTATGGAAATGGTATATATTCATTCTGAAACTTGATTTCTTTGTTTGGCAATGTTTTGGAGTTTATCCATGCAGATACAGATAGATCTGGTTCATTTCTTTAATGATGTTCCAGTGTGACTGTGGCTCATAGGTTATAATGTCACCTTGTTGGATGTTCATTTATTTTCTTAAAACAGTGCGCAGGGAAAATATTTCTACATGTTTTCTTGTGCACATGTATAATTTCTCAAGGATTTATACCTAAAATTGCTTGACAATAAATTTAGTTTTTATTGTTGTTAAGTGCTATCGAGTTGGTTCTGACTCATAGCGACCTTATTTAGGGTTTCTTATTTATTTAGGGTAGCTTAAATAGTTGGTGAGCTTGAACCGTGGACTTTGCAATTCAAAGCAACAGTTAACCTACAGCAACTCACTCCTCTCTGCCAAGAAATTTGGAAGACAACTGTCTGGCCAACAGATTGGAAGAGATCTGTACTTGTGTCCATTCCAAAGAGAGGTGACCCAACAGAATGCAGAAATCATCGGATGATCTGTTTGATAGCCCACGCAACTAAAATTTTGCTAAAGGTAATACAGACGGCTACGATCATACATTGACAGAGAGCTTCCAGAGGTTCAAGCTGGATTTAGAAGAGGCCATGGAAAGAGGGATATCATTGCTAATGTCTGATGGGTCTTGGCTGAAAGCAGAGACTATCAGAAAGATGTTTACCTGTGCTTTATTGACTATACAGAGGCTTTGATTGTGTGGATCATGACAAGCTATGGACAACATTGCGAAGTATGATTATTCTGGAACACTTAATTCTGTTCATGAGGAATCTGTATCTGGACCAAGATGCAGTTGTTCGAAAGAACATGGGAACACTGAATGGTTTAAATTAAGAAAGGTGTGCGACAAGGTTGTGTTCTTTCACCATACTTATTCAACCTATATAATAATGCTGAGCAAATTATCCAAGAAGCTGGGTTCTATGAAGAAAATCGTGGCATCAGGATTGAAGGAAGACTCATTAACAACCTGCGATATGCAGATGAT